GTCATATTGTTGGACTCCTCAGCAGTGCGCATCCACGACCTCGCCTTGGGAGAGGAAAAATGCCAAATATTTAAGAAAAAAACAATCGAAACCTAATGAACCTTCATTGAACACATCCATTCAGCTACAAAAGATGATTTCAACAAGATTATTAATATAAAATGTCCATATGAAAACCAACATCACTTTAAGTTCATTTAGTCTTGTTTGTTTGAATATTCCCATTGATGTTTAGGTCTTCAATTGATCAGCCTCTTATTGGTTTATGTACATACTGTGTGTATTTCTTCAATATGGCCTTAATACACTAACATTATAAACAAAGATGGATAGTGGTTAGCAGTGAAATCCAGGACGTCCTGGATATACTGATTCAAGTAATCTGAAAACAATCATATGAAATATCACTTCCTTAATTTTACCTTTCATGCTATTCATTGTTTTTGTAATTTAATAGTTTAATTAATGAGTCAATTAAAGTTAAACCACTATGAAGAACCTAGACAGATTGAATGTCTGTTTTGTCTTAGTATTAAACTCCTCAGCACCGTTGAATGCTGGCCCAGTGCTTTAGAGGTTAAGCGTTCACGCGTGAGACTGAAGGTCACGAGTTTGAATACCACCAGCAGAATCGTCGATACATACTGTAATTATACTAGAACGAAACAATCGTCCAGTGCTTCCATGTTTTACTACAATCTCCACAAAAACCCTTTCTGATAATTATTATCCTATTATTAATCTATTTCATATTATTCTATCCTTTGCTTTGTTACTAGTTTTTTCCACTTCATTTAACCATGAGAATGCGTGTAAGAATAAATTATTATGCAACTTCAACTTTTTTTCCAAGATTTTATATTTAACTAAATATAATGAATATTACTATGTTAATAGTTTAAGTAATCAGTAGATGACTAATTTAATAGTTGAATTCATGAAGATAGACCACCAAATGCCCCCAAATGCCCTGGTACGGTCGAGAGTGGGGAGATTATGCTCTCCCTCTCGAAATACTCTCACATGGCCAAGCGTATACAGCATCTGCCAGGGACGTCCTACTAACTGCCTTCTCGTGGCGGGGTTGTTGTTTACGAAAGTGAGAGGACGAAAATCGAATGTCCGGCGCTTTAACCGGGTTGGTGGACAAGGCGAGTCCACCTAGGGGAGTTGGAAAACCCTGATGCCAAACCAATGGTGTACATGGGCTCCAGTATCCTGAGGGAAAAATGGCGTACGAATCAATCGTTAATCATCGGCTACCATGGGACTGCATCTCCTTATGATGCTCCACTGCCTTGTGGATCAGATCTTTCGGTCAAAGGCTCCGGGTGTGGTCCCCCTAAGAAAACCACCTGCTTCAGTTCGGGCACCTGGACAGTATCACAGCCCTTATACAAATCGAATGAGATTTGTGTGGCGCATATGTATCTGGTGCTCCCTTGTACTAATATTTATGTGTTTAAATAAATAAATAAAACAATGTTAAAAGTTAAAAATACTCAATTCAAACAGACTATTAAATGATTCAAAAGTCATTAGATACATGTTTCCAACTGTATATAAACACAAAGTCTAGTGCCATCCTGTGCTTTTAAGTTTTCAATGATTGTCTAACTTAGATTGATTCATGATTACAACTATAAAAATAAAGCGGTCAAAACTTGAATTCTTTTAAATATATCTTTGAAAGTGAGATGTTGAATCTTATGAATGATTCTTGGAATGAAATCTTGTAAAGCATGACTACTTGATTACTTATTTACCTGAATATGTGTTTATAATGATTGAGATTTTATTCACTTTATCTTTATTATGTTTAGTATTATGGAAGAATTTAGATTTCTACTGGATATACATCTATACAAGTAAACTTTTCTAGCCCACAGTGTTATTTTATTATGAGGTTAGATGATTTCCTTGACATTAAAGATGATATGGTCTAATTACAATTCATTTTCACCTGTGAGTTGTCTTCATTTTGTAATGATTAACTTCACACAACATAGCTTTCTATAACTGAGAGAGGCAGTTTTGAATAGCCTCAAAATTTCAGATACACATTGTTAATGATTGGTGATTTACGTTTATGTCTTTATGTTAACTGCTCACAAACAATATAAGTCAGATCAATTACTTCTTGATTTCCAATTCTAATTAACTGTTGAAATCATGAGTTAATTGAAGCTAGACTACCATGAAAAACTTGGAAGCATTGGACGGCCATTTCGTCCTATTATAAAACACCGCAGCAGTGCGCATTCACAGTGAGTTACTATCTCATAACAAACTCGTTTGAACTCCACTGGTCAGTGCTCCTCACTAGAACACTAGGAAATACCTCTTGGAGCCAGTCACTAGTTAAAAATCTCCATAAAACCTCCTTCTGATAAGTCTAATTTAGCCTAAGGACAATAAAAGAAAGATAATAACATTACTTGTTTCTAAAATATGACCGATTAGTTTAAACTTGTATATTTTAGATATAGATGGTTACTATTTAAGAGAGATTATCAAATTCAATAGGATTTGTAATTGATAAGTTGAATTAATTGATGCATTGATTAAATGTTTCACAGCTGTTTCAATCTAATACTATTGCATAATAATAACAGTGTGTTAATTGTTGTTATATCAATTGCCTGAGTAACCTGTTAATATATATGACGTGATAAGATCGCCAATTAGAGAGGAGTGAATTATCGATCAGAGCAATGATACATAAAAGCCGTACGAGCAGTCTTGAGTACTTATCAGTCCTGCTATCTGCTTAGACCAGCCACTTAAGTCCAGAACACCAATAACAACCTCTGCAATATGAATCGTTGTATTTCAAACATAATGAGTTTATATACCAAACAGACTGACCACAACGTACGAACAAAATAGAAAATAATATTTGTACAATATCTAGCCAAATATGGCTGTGAATGTGAGGGGCAGTAATTAATAGGCTAGGGATAACTCAAGAATAGTAAATCGTATAATAATAGTCTATAGGTCAAAATAAAGCTTATAATAAGAGGGACACGAATATGAATAGTTTAGTTACTTAATTACTTACTATCGCCTGTTACTCCCAATGGAGCATAGGCCGCCGACCAGCATTCTCCAACCCACTCTGTCCTGGGCCTTCTTTTCTTGTTCTATCCAGTTCTTGTTCATTCTTCTCATGTCTGTCTCTATTTCTCGGCGTAATGTGTTCTTCGGACTTCCTCTTCTCCTTTGGCCTTCAGGAGTCCATGTGAGGACTTGTCTTGTGACGCAATCGGGTGATTTCCTCAAAGTGTGCCCTATGCACTTCCAGCGCTTCCTCCTGATTTCTTCCTCCGCTGGAATCTGATTTGTTGTCTCCCACAGTAACTTGTTGCTGATAGTGTCTGGCCATCGGATCCGAAGTATCTTGCCTAGACAACTGTTAATAAACACTTGTATCTTCTGGATAATGGCTTTCGTAGTTCTCCACGTCTCCGCCCCATAAAAATAGAACTCTCTTGACATTTGTATTGAAAATTCTAAGCTTGGTGTTTAGTTAGTTAACAATTATACAATAGGAAATATACATATCATATTTGTTCATAAATAGTCCTCAAAACTTACCATTCATAATTCTCCACGGGATATAACACTTCTGAAAATATTTAGTTGTGATATGTACATAAACTATCATGGATAAATAGGTGTTATTACGACATAATATTGAATGATAAAATGTATTCATATTCTTTAACAACAACTAGTCCAGTTAAAAATGATTATTAATCAACAAACAAACAAGCATCACGAGATTCGAACCCAAGACCTATCAGTCTCCCGCGCGAACACTTAACCGATATTCATTAACATGCAGTTGTTTTGAATTCCATATGTTTTTCATCTGCCCAATATTAACATCATTTCTTCATTGCTGCCCTTTTTTTTTAAAAAAAAAAATTTGTTTTACTATAATCATAATAACAAAACTGTAGGGCAAACTCAAATTATGGACTTGAATCATTTCACCTGTATAATTTAAAAAATCTAATCAAATTAATTAATTTGTATAATGAAATTTCCAGTTGAAAGAATCATTGACCCCTTTATAAGAGGTAGTTACTACTAATATGAATATTATGAAAAAGTTAAAAAGAAAAAGAGAGAAAAAACAAGAAAAAAAAGAGTAAAAAGAGAGAAAAACAAGAAAAAAGAGAAAAAAAGAGAAAAACAAGAAAAAAGAAAAGCATATTCTTGTCATTAGTTACTATACAGTTTCGCATAGACCCTTTACTGTTATCATTTTTAGATTTAATTTTATCTATTTTATATTTAATATATAAAGAAAAAAAAGTTTCTTTATTTTTTTTTATTTTTTTTCTTTATTTATAAAATCAACCAATCAGATTTTAGTTTAAATTTTATTAGTTTATTAGTAATGAATAAATTTATATGAGGAAATATTATTTAAAGGTTAGCTTATTAATAATTATCATCAAATTGATACTACTACTAATACTAATACTACTAATAATACTACTGATAATAATACTACTACTACTACTACTACTACTACTACTATTGTAGTGAACGAGAACATTAGTGGGGACAATAGAATGTATTCAAGCACAATATTACAGTCTATCTTACTAAATTCTGTTAAACATACAACAATCAGTTAATTTGTAAAATAACAATCACTTGTCTCAATCTAAACTGTTTCTTCTGTAAATATCAGTCCATCTTTTATGATTTCATTGTTTATATATTTTCTTGCCGATTTCGCTTTATTTCAGTTCTTTCCATATTAGTCTTCTGCTAAAATACATTCTATTCTTGACTATCGTCATATACTACTTATATGAATATAAATAGACCACACTACACTATTACTACTATTTATATTATTGATAAAATATGGAGTAATTTCATTCGTTTACATAATGTATCTCTTGTATCATATAAAAGGAAACAATAATAGACAAAAGTAAATGCATCTATTATATGTGAAGTGACAATATTGTTCTATGCATTTAACAAGATTATTATTCGAATTAGTTATGTGGATCATTTATTTGATATTATGGAATTTAAATATGATCAAATGTAATCAAGGAATAGGAATGAAAAAATTACGCTTACAAAGTTTAGATATTGGTAAGTGCTAATCTATATATATATATATATTTTAATAAAGTATATTAATCTTAAATTCATATCAATGTGATATGTACTACTGAAGTCAATAGATATAAGTAGTACGTAGTAGTAATCGAAAGTGAAATACATGGTGGCAGAAGGTAAAGAAGATTTAAGAAAAGAGAATAAGAATAGAGAGTAATTGGTGTGGAAACAAAGGAATAATGAAGTCTGAGACATTTTGAAAATGAAGTATTTACTGTATGATTCTCAGATTTTATTAAGTGATTTTGTAATTTTATGTTCAAATACATTTAGTTGTTCCCACTTGTGTTCTTGCTCATTGTATCACTACCAAGGTTGAACTAGATAGTTTCAAATAAATTGAATATTAGGTACATTGTTAATAATAAATATATTTTTGTTACATTCCAATGAGTAGAAGAAATTGTATTCTTGACGTATTTCTGAAGTAGGCCACTTCTTCAGAGTAAATTTTGGCTGTTAATTTACTCTGCAGAAGTGGCTTACATTAAGTTACGAAATTGTTTCTTACACGTGTTGTACTATACTTAGAATAGTGTAAATAAGGTATTATTTACTTCAACAAATGACAGAATACTCTCTGAGAACTTTAGATCATTTTAAAAAATAAATACTAGAAAATAAGTGAATGTGGATCAACACTTCTTTTTATCAGTAAAGAGTTGTAGAGAATGTTGGGTTTTGATTGAGATCATGAATTGATCAACGTTTTACAGCCATTGAAAACCTCTAACTTCCCAATGGCCATTTCGTCCTAGCACGAGACTCCTCATTAGTTTGCATCTAAAATACCACACGTGAGATTCAAGCTCAAGATCGTGGGTTCACACTGCTGAAGAGTCCCGCACTAGGACGAAACGGCCGTCCAATACTTCGTGGTTTTCAGTAGCGGTATAACGTTGATCGATTCATAAACTCAATTAAAACGCTTTTTATGTATTAGTGATATGAAATCAAAATAGAATAATGTCTGTTTGACAAGTCTGAATACAAACAATTTCAGACGAGTTGTCTTGGAAAAAAAGAAGAAAGCTAAAATTTATTGAAGTGTTCTATTTAGTAAGTATAATATCTCGCTGAAATCAGTGAGTATTACTATGATGAAAGACTTTTTACAGTGTTTAGAAACAAACGATTTGATATTACTTAGTTAACATGTCTTCCATATTCAGTATGCTTCAAAAGACTACAAAGATGGATTGATCAGTGATAAGTTATTTTCAAGTTTCTACGGTGACGTTTGATTAATTAATGACATGCATTAATTTAACAATGTTCAGTACACCATCAGGTGTTAAATCAATCAGATGTAGGAATCCTAAATTGCACTGAAAACACTTTTAAACATAATTTTTAGATTGAGTTCTTTGGACTCCGTCAGGATTTGATTGTTTATAAAGTTCGAAATCTGAATTTGTAAATCTGCCTTGATGTAATTCAATAGATAAGTTTTGTAGAACTACCTTTGTATTACAAGCAAAGATGGATAGTGGGTAGCAGTGAAATGCAATTTGACGCTCGTCTCGTCCTATTTGGGACACGTCAGCTGGATGTACCTGCATCTCAGAGTTGATGTTCACTCTGGAACTCGAACACAGTACCTTTTGCTTCAAACGCCATCGCGTTATCCTATCGGCCACTGAGACCTGATAGCCACTTACTTGTGCAATGAGGTGAAGTTTAAATTTACTTGCAATCATAAACATCAATGGGAAGATACAAATAAACAATGCTAAGTAAATTTACCTTTGTATTAGTTTTGATGGGAATTATTCAATAAATGAATATGAGTAAGGCCTTTTATTTAACCTTAATTCGGTCATAAAGTGTAACATTTTAAAAATTCATGACACATTAGGTTGATTGTTTGTTTATTCTTAATATTAGCTTTATTCAATATTATATTTCTGGTACAATATAGAAGTCTCAGCACAAAGTATTTCAACAAGATTCCGTTTCTTACATCTTGGTCGATTCTGACGATAAATATTAAGTGGTCTCCAGCTAGAAGTTAACAGTCCAGGAATCCACATTCGAATAATGTACATTATTTTCGATGCATATTGCCAGCAATTACGATGTTCTCGATTGGTCATTTTTCGCATCTTGTACAGCGAGAGGTTTGTAAGCGCCTGAATAGGTTTTACGATTAATAAACACAATAATGTGTTCAAACAAGCATAAACAGATAACTTGTTGAAATACTTAAATTTCAGAAGGCAACCAATTTTCATTCAACGATATATTTTCCATTTGGAAAATGAAGATATTAATGATTAACATTTAAGTAGTATCCTATTTGTTACAGTTAATGAAAATTCACAGGACTATATGGCGTATTGTTTCTTAATAACCAGTGGAGTTCAACCAGGTCTGTTGGGAGATATCAACTCGCTGAAGACATTGGTGAATTGGTAGCTCAACTTCGTGGATTGGTTGAAGTTAGACATTAACACAGTTGGATGCCGGCTCAGTGGTCGATATATCCTTGAAATTCTGACCATTGAAGATATTCAACTTTGAGAAAAAACATCTGATCAATCTACAAACTCTTTGAGATGGGATCAGTAATATTATGAGGGGCTTCTTCTTTTGAAATGTAGGGTCTTTTGAAAATGTTTGTCAAAATATTACATAAAAGGGTATTTAGTAGAACTTGCTTTGTCATTTAAATGAATTTTTTAAAAGTGTGTTAGAACTCATGGTACATTTTTGTATCTGATATTCGGATCTACAGAATCAGTGTTGTAAAGACCTCAAATGCCCTGGTACGGCCGAGAGTGAGGAGGGCCTTCCCCCTCTCTCGAAATGCTCTCGCACAGCCACGCTCATACAGCCAATTGTGTTATCCAGTGAAGATTTAACAAATCAATAATCAGATATTTATGCTAGGCATCTATTTATCTAAGAGCCAAGTTTAATGATTCGTTATTAATAGTCAGTGTTAAGTGTTCATCTTTGAGCGTCATTTTACTGATTTTGGTATGTCATTCCGTGCCATTTGATTTTCCAGGAATTTTTATTCAACTGTACTGGAAGATGTCGGTTTGAGTGTTCTGAATTACAAAGTTATGTTTTCATAATAAGCTCAGTAGTAACGTCTCTGCCTGTGAAGCTGGGTGACGCGGGATCGAATCCTTCAGGGAGCACCAGTTCACTCAAGATTACAGGTACACTTTGCTGACGAGTGCCAAGTAGCACGAAACACGGGCGCAAGGTTTCCTGTTGACCACCTGCAACCAACATCTTATCAGTTACTATGTTAAACATACATAATTTATTCTAGCTTCTAAACAAGCCAATTTATTCATTCTACTTAGGTCACATTTGGACATAATCACATATCAGCTCATCGACCGTAACTGCTTTTAGATGAGCCTTTGTGTGTGCACATCTTATCCTACTCATCACATGTCTGTAGCTTATTTTTGTATGACTATAAATATCGATTAACGCTTAATCAAATTGAGTTTATTTACACACCTTCTCCATTGCGTGCCGTCTTGTTTTGCATCTCTTTCCGATCGACGATTGTACAAAATATACGTATTCCAAATCCTTTCTCATATATGACTTATTTTAATTCCATTATTCACCAATGTGAATTAATTCCATGATTATATATGAATACAACCAGGATGTATGTTTTAACAACACTCATTCATATGATCTAACTGAATTCATATTCTTACTTAATTATTTACGCCTGTTACCTCCAATGGGACATAGGCCGCTGACCAGCATTCTGCAATCAACCCTTTCCTGGGCTACCCTTTCTAATTCTATCCAACTTTTATTCATTCTTCTCATGTCTGTCTCCATTTTTCGGCGTATTGTATTCTTTGGTCATCCTTTACTCCTATGGCTCTGAGGATTCAGATTTAGGGTTGCCTTGTGACGCAGTTGAGTGATTTCCTCAATGTGTGTCTTATCCACTTCCAGCGCTTCTTCCAGATTTCTTCCTCCACTAGGATCTGGTTTGTTCATTCCCACAGTAACTTGTTGCTGATAGTGTCTGGCCAACGGGTCCGAAGTATCTTGCGTAGACAACTGTTAATAAACACCTGTATCTTCTGGATTATGGCTTTCATTGTTCTCCAAGTCTCCGCCTCATACAATAGAACTGTTTTGACATTTGTATTGAAAATTCTGATCTTGTTGTTGGTTGACAATTGTTTTGATTTTCAGATATTCTACAGTTGTAAATATGCTGCTCTTGCTTCGCCGATCCTCGCCTTCACATCTGCATCAGATCCACCGTGCTCATCAATGATGCTGTCCAGATATGTAAAGGTTTTCACATCCTCCAATGCCTCTCCGTCAAGTGTAATTGGATTGGTGCATGTTGTGTTGCATCGGAGATTCTTGCTTTTCCCTTAGTTTATATTGAGACCTACTTCTGCTGAGGCTGATGCTTTATTGGCCGCCTCCTCTTGCATTTGATGTTGAATGTGTGATAGTAGAGCCAGATCATCTACGAAATCTAAATCTTCAAGCTTCATCCTAGCTGTCCATTGTATCTCGTGCTTCCTTCAAGAAGTTATATTTAGAGCTACAGATTCATAGCTATTTACTTCAAAACAACAAATTTAATTACTTAGTTTAAAGTTATTCATCAAAAATAAACAACACAATTATATTAAATGAATTAGGTTTAAGTGTATTTATATTTTATTTATAAGTAGTCAATAAGTAATTGTAAACAATTTAGATACTTATAAATGGTATATATCACGATTTAATATTGAATAAAAACCTTTGAAAACTGAATATTTGTTTAATCTTCCTTCATGAATCTATAACACAACTATAATCGTTATAAATTCACTTAGTATTGCTTGTTAGAATCTTCCCATTGATGTTTAAGAACTGAAATTGGTCAGTCTCTAATTGGCATATGTGCATACTGTGTATGATTGCCTCGATATAGACTTAATTCACAAGTGTTGTAAGTAAAGATGGATAGTGTCTAG